TGAGTTTGTGTGTCACTCCAGTTTGAAGTGCTAAAACAGTCAAGATTGCACCAACTCTCCACTCAGTTGGATATGCATGTGATTATGCAATCTTTGTGGAGATTTGTGGATGCAAGAGATGTAATTAACAGTGGCACAAGTTGGGAAACAAAAATATGGCAATGATTAAACAAGTTTCCACAAGACTCGAATCCAGTTCTTTATTTTCAGGCTGGATAAATATTTTATATTATATTTTATAACATCATAATTTGTATTCCTAGACACAATGCTTTCCTAACAGTAATTTACATTCCTGAGCCTAAAAATAAATACCTTAAAATAGTGCCTAATCTATAGATTATGTTCAAAACAATGTTACATCACACCAATAGTAATTTTATGAGACCATCTTCATAAAATACTCCATTTGAGTTCCTTCAAGCGCTGCCAAAAACATTATACAACATAACTACTATTATTTTATTAGCCCACATTTGTGGAGTATCGGAGATCTTAAAGCTTTTAAGCTGACCAAAATGGCAGGCACAATCATACAGCCCCCATCAGCCTCATACTCGGCCGATTTCGGGGTCTGGCAGACAAATCGCGCTAATTTATAAACAGTTTTACAAGCAGTTTCCCTCTCTTTTTGTGAGCTAGGTTGGGAGTTGGGGCAGCGATAGCATCTCCAGTAAAAACGAGGAGTGCGAGTACGAGTACGAGTACGAGTACGGAGCTGACCAAGTTTCTTTTGGCCCCTTCTTGTTTTGTGCAAAGCGATTGTTAAATAACATTTGTGCTTGTTTCTGCTTTTATTGTAGTGCTGGCGGCATTTGCCTGGAACCTTTCATTGTTGCTGTCGGGCGGCTTCTTTTGCTTCCATGCGGCCAGTGGATACATGCCATAGCATACCCCTTTCCCTTTCCCTGGGTAGCTACTACTCGTAGTTGTAGGTGTTGGCCAAAGCCTCGCTTGAGGCAATTTCTTACTTACCTCAGTTAATTACACAATTTTATGTAAATTTCACTTTTTGCTATTGCTGTTGCTGTTGCTGCTGCTTCTTCTGGGGCTATTGTTGCTGGGCATTCTTTTGTGCGGCCGCAAATTAATTACTTATTTGCTTAGCCGCTAAGCAATTTTGTTGGCAATTAAAATGCCTTTAGGAAATCCACAAAAATATTTGTTTCTTTTTTGGGGGGATCTCTGTGCCAACTGCAGTCATTTGTCGATAGTCGGGAAAAGTGAAAGGGAATTGCCAAATATTCGGATTGACCAACAGTCTGAATGGAACCCGAAATGAGGCAGCAACTCTCAAAAAACTAAGCCATCAAATGCCATCAAAAGCTTATTATGCACATTTTATGCCGTGTGGAAACTGTCAACAGTCACTGTCGAGGGGCTAACCAGTTCTGGCAGTTGATAGAAGACCGAAGCTGTGGTCGTGTACCCATACCCAAAATGCACAGTCAGTTCTGAACTGTATTCAGATGGGATCGATGCGATGCTGAAGCTAACGCTATAGCTAACGCTGATGTTGATGTTGAAATGATGTGAGCACGATCTCGCAGATCAGACTTAGATTGAGATGATGCCCTGCGATGATAGGCAAGACAATTTAATGAGCCGTTAAATGCCGATTGCAGCACAATAATAAATCAATTTTCGGGAAACGATCTAGCCTAGATTTGGTAAACGATTGCCTACTTATGCAGATGTTGAAATGTGGCAGAGAATCCAAAGGCAGGCACGAATCAATTCAATTACAGTGTATTCATGGTGCTGCAGTGACAAATACTAAGCATAAAACAGATTCTTATTTTTCGACTAGCCCGAGAACAAAAAGTTAATTTTAATTGGCCCAGTTGTTCAAACAGACAAACAAACAAACAAAATACAAGAGCAGCCCACAACGGCATACGAGTGGAGTAGTGCCCCATTAGCCAGCAGCTGGAATTGATGCCAAAACTGACATCTGACATGTGCATCTCTTTTTATGGCCAGAACACAAATTGCAAAACACGTCTGCAAGCGCCTCCAAAATGATTCTCAGATCTTTAGAGCCGACTGACCAAAAACAACCTTGAAACTTCACAGGCCACCAAAAAACATCTCAAAGAAGACAAACAGCCAGCGGGAAAAACTCTACAAGCTCAAATTCAGTTCAGCGCAGAACGTAAAGGCAAATGCAGCTGGGGCATGCGTTTCTTGGTTGGATGCGGGGCAGTCAGGAAATCCGAGAGGCAATGGGGAAACGGGGCCAAATCGGAGGCCATTCGCCATCGACATGACCGAAAAAACTGGAAAACTTGCGAGTTGTAAGAGGCCGCGATGCCGTTGCGCAACTGGGGACTTGAAGAATTTACGGCATCGGCTTTTGGGTAACTCTTAATTGAGCGAAATATCTCTTGGGGCGCGTGTGGCAGATCTTCTGATTTAAACTATTAAATTCTAATTAGCATAAACAACTTAACTGCTGACTAAATGTCTAACAAATCACTTTCACTGCGAAACGAAACGAAACTGAAACCAAAAACAAAACCAAAACCAAAACCAACACCGAGACTGAAAACGAAAAGAAATTTCCAAAATTCGCTTTCATTTTGTATCCCATCCAGAGGAGGCTATGGACCCGATGTGTGATGTGAAATCAATTATGAATTATTAACAAATTAGCTGGGAGTTCGAGTCATGTAACTGACAGGTACATCACGGATCACAACGCCCCATCAAACTTGTGAAAAATGTTGCTTTCGGCGGGATCTATAAACTGGTTTGCCATCACTACTTCTTCTACCTGTTGCCGGCAATCGCACGCCGTATCTTCTCTCATTAGCATAATGCCCATTCGACTTGACGGCCCTCCAATGAAAACGTATTTGACATGAATTAGTGTTTGTAGACGGCTAAATGACTATTGACCAAACCCCTTCTGGCTGCATCTTGGGAACGGACTTTCTTTGTACAACCAAAGAAAACTATGAGTTGTTAATCAATGAAGGCCATTCCACGGATTTTAATGCAAGTTTTGAACAGATTCGACTGCGTGTGACCCTCGCTTCTGATATTCAATCAATAAGAAATGCAAAAATATTGTCTTATCAATGAGTCATTTCCATTTGATCCTAGACAAACCCCCGAGAAGACAAACCCCCAAAGATGCATACATACAACATAATTTGGCTATGGTGATTTATAGTTTTTCCCAATGTTTGGATAGTCTCTTTGATATCCGACACTCAGTTGCTACAACGCCAACACTCTAGTCGTCAATCACTTGACACATTCAACTCCAGTAGTGAACAGTGAGGCATCACCAGCGTGGGTTGTGGTGGCATTTGGTGACAGCAACAACCACAAAAACTGCCAGCCTGCCAGCCAGCCAGTGCCTTCGATGGGACTGGGCATGCGCAGCGCATTAGCTGGTCATTGATTGGTGGCTTGGCTCGCACTGGCATTTAAAAACGAAAGCGCTTTGCCTACGAGTACAAGTGCCGTGAAAATGTTGAATGATTACGCTAAACCATGAAATTGACATGTCGAACACATGCGGACCCACAAAGAGAGGCTGGGATTGAAAGAAAGGGAAAAGAAATATGACAAACCCTATGAGGACAGGGTTCGGTGGCTTTGGGGCTGGGATGTTGATTGCCTGGGCATCGCCATTGGCAGTTGATGGATGATTGATTGAGGTTTTCACCAGACGAGCAATTTGTAAAGAAAAGTCATGTTTAAGGAGAAAGAAAATTGTGAATTCAGAAAAACAAAAATTGATGATACAGATGCATGACAAGCCATTGTACGAGCTGAAAAACTCGCCAACGAAGGTTGGATGGGACAAGCCAAAGCCACAAGCACAGAAAATACTTGCTGGCCAGCTATAGATAAAATATATAAGTAATACAATCATGTTAGGCAGCCAAACTCTCCCGTTCACCTGTGTCCTCCACCAAACACATTGAACTTTTCTCCAAGCTCATCATTGGACTGCGATTAGATTGCATAATCAAACGCCGCCCCACTGACAGCAGCAGCATCATCATCATCATCCACAACATCAGCCGCGGCATGATGAGGCGCGGCATTAGCGGCAACAACATAATTACCATGCGAAAAGAAAGAGCTGTGGATGGTCTGGGGAGAGCCCGATAGCGCCTCAATCTCGCATCGACGGAGAGGGAGCCCAGCAAAAACAGAAGATTTATGACCCGTGCAATTAATTTGTACATACAGCAGTTTAGCCATAAGCCAAAAAGCGACAAAACAAACAAGATCTAAGCCCGCCGCTGTGCAACGCATCTCTGCTCCTCCTTCTGCTGTGTTGGATAATCATTGTCCGATGTCCGACTGGGTCTTCTCTTGGCCAAGCGCAATGCGTATACGTACTGTATGACAGGCAGTTCAAGGGGCGTGCTTGCCTGGATGATTGTATAAGCGGCTTGCCCTATGGGAGATATTCGCTAATGACAATTGCAGATGGCAGACAATGGAAATGGGCTACCATGCGAATGGGGAAGAGTTCAATTGGGAGGAAGAAAACTTACATATGAGGACAAATCAAAGATGATTTAACTTTAAATTAGCCATAAACACGATGGGTTGCAGGGGCATGTTCGCAAATTTAGGTTATCCTGATCTGTGGTCTATCATTACGTGATCTCTTTGCAAACAAGTTCCGCCACTGTGCCATTCGTGTGGACTTCAACTTGACCGAGTGGCCCCCAAAAAGGACCCCAGAGCATTAGCCTCCAACCAATCCGGAGACGCATTATCTCGTTTTTGGCATCAAAAAAATGGAGCAGAGATTGCTGTTACAGCCGCTTGAAACTGGTTCATGTCTATTTTGGGGCGAGTCGAGGGGCTTTTACTTTTTTCTGTGTCAGTTTTCATTGCATGCCCGCGAAGGAGAAACCAGCTGATGATGGATCTGAAGCTGGTTTTCAGCAGTGCACGATGATGCAATGGTGATGGAAAGTTGTACGAGTAATCTCACATTTTGCCTTCTCTTGCTCCCATTGCAGCCGCCCTTTCACAACTCGCATCGCCGCCAGCTGAATCTGCAGCAGTACAATCAGCAAAACTTTGTCCAGGCGGGCGTCGAGTTGCCCATTCCCCACCGCCAGCAGCAGCAGCAGCAGCAGCAACACACCCATCTGCACCACCAGGCACCGCAGCAGCATCGTTTCGGCCAGTTCCCACAGCAGCAGCACCAGCAGCAGCAGCCACCGTCCCCCACCCAGCAGCAGCCCCATGGCAATCAACAGTTCCAACGGTCCACTCAAAGCCAACTGCAAACGGCTCCTCAATTCCCTCAGCAGCAGCAGCAGCAACAGCAACAGACGCAGCAGCAGCTTCCCTCGGCTTCCAGCAATCTGGATCTGCATCATCAGAACTTCTTGGACTTGCGTAACTACGCTGGTTCCCAGCAGCAACAGCACCCCCATCAACAGCAGCAACAGCAACACCAACAACAACAACAGTTGCCCCAACGCCACAAGCAATTTGGTAAGATCTATCGAGAATAGAACTACAGGACTGTTTCAAAGTTTTCCCTAATTAAACCTTGGCGAATCTTATGCTCTATCTTTCAGATTCCCGCTTGCAGTCCACAGCCTTTCCACCACAGCCCTCGAGGGAGACCTACCAGCAACAGCAGTTGCAGCAACAGCAAACCCAACAGCAGTTTGCCTTCCAGCAGCCCCAGCAGTTCGGATCCCAAGTTCTGCCTCAGACCACACAGAAGCTGCCCAGCCAGGCGCCCGTCCCCACCTTCCAGACCATTCCACAACAGACACCACATCCCATTCAGCAACAGCAGCAGCAGCTGGCCAGTTCAACTATCAGCAACAGCCAGCCCTGCCGCAGTACCAGTTGACACCCCAGCTGGGTCTGCCTGTACCACCTCTCTTCAGCACCTTGCAATCCACACCCTTCCCAGCGCAGCCCACGAGAGAAGCCTTCCAACAGCAGCCGCAGCAGCAGCAGCAGCAGCCCCAAGGTCAGCAATTCCAGCACCAATTTGTGAATGCTCCCGCTCAGCCCCAGCCAGCAGATCAGGAGTACAAGCAAAAGCTCATCCAGAAGCACGAGCAGTTTGTGGCCAAGCAGTACGAGAAGTCGCAGCACAAGGTGCGCCAACAGCATGAGGACTTCCTCAACAAGCAGCACCAGATCAAGCAGCACATCCTGCCGACGATCATCACCCAGCATAACGGCAACTATCAGCACTCGCCCTATGGCGGCGGACCGCCACGTGGACGTCCGGTGGCCCATCCCACCGATTACAACCAGTTCAGCAGCGCCCTCCAGCAGTACTACAAGGAGCATCCAACCACGACAACGACCACGACAACGACAACAACCACCGAGGCCACCACCACGCCCAAGAAGAACATCTACGCCCAGGTCAAGTCGGAGCTCGGAAAGTTTCCCAGCCAGAAGGGAACTGCCAAGAAGCCAGTCAAGACCTTTGCCCGGGATGATCTGTTGAAGCAGCTGAAGGCAGCCCTCTCAGAGGCCCCGCAGCAACCCCTGACCGGCAATAATACCTACGACGAAATGGATCTTTTGCTGCCCAACGGCCAGAGAGTCCAGGTGATCCGCACCACGGACCCCAACCTCGTGCAGGGCCAGAAAGCATATTCCCAGGAGCAGCTGCAGACTCTGCTGGCCCAACAGGCGCTCGGATCTGAGGCCAAGCTGAGCCTCAGCGATGTGGCGCCCAGCAAGAGTAAGGATCTGGAACTGCCCGGTGGTGGTAAGGTGCAAATCCTGCGTTCTCCAGATCCCCAGGAGTCCGACACCCTCCCAACCGGATCGCTGCCCGGAGGTGTGGATCTGTCCAGTCTGGCAGCTCTATATGGTGGTGGTGCCGGGGACATACAGGGAATTAGCAGTGGAGCCAACAGCATCGCCAGCTCGGCCGTTATCACTTCAGATTCGGATGAGCCACCCTCCTTGGCGGAGCTGGCCCAGCGCGGACTCATCCCCGATGGCTATGAGATCGAGGGTCTGAGCCCAAAGTCCGAGCCCAAGGCAACGCCTGCACCGGCGGCATTGCCGGCCAAGAAGAAGGCCACCTACGTGTACCTCGAGGAGCAGGCCGACGGCAGCTTCAAGATCCAGGGAGTCAAGGCCAATGGCGAGAAGGAGACCAAGCAGACTGGAGCGGAAGTCGAGAGCATTTTGGAGAGGATCAGGAGCGGTGAGATCAAGCTGCCACCTTCTGTGTCCCGCCTGACGCTGCCCAACGACGAGCTGGTGGAGATCAAGAGCGGAAAGATCATCCAGACCACCCGTGCCCCACTCACAACGAGCAGCAGCACAACTACCACCACAACGACCACACCGGCTCCATTCGTATCCCGCGGCACGCCCAGCAATCATCGTCAGTACCATCCCTCCAGGACATCGACCACCAGCACAACCACCAGTGCACCCTACACACCCCGCCACAGCCCCATTTATGAGAGCAGCACCGCCAATGCGGCAGCTGCGAGCCTGATCCGCACCACGCCCGCTCCAGTGTACAGCTCTTCGCCGGTGACCGCTGCTTCGTACCTGGGAGGTGGCTCGGTCTCCACCCACTTGCCGGTGACTGCTTCTTCGTACCTGGGAGGCGGCTCCGTCTCCACCCACCTGCCGGTGGTCACCGAACGTCTCTCGGATCTGGCCCACACACAGGATCTGCTGCCACCTGTGCCTCAGTATGCGGACGCCCTTGTCCAGGAGACCGAGAACACAGAGAAGGCAGCCCAGGCTGGTCCGGGTGTGTCCTCCGTCCTGTCCAATCCGAGTGAGGATCTGCTGCAGATATTGAAGTCGAATGGCCTCTTCGCCATGGCCAAGTACCTCCGCCAGTCGGGCTTGGACAGCATTCTGAACGAGACCGGACCATACACCATCTTTGTGCCCACTGACAAGGCCTTTAAAAATCTCCTAGTACAATTGGGTGGACCCGAGCGCGCCGAGGAGAAATTCCAGTCCAATCCAAGGCTGCTGAGTGGGGTAAGTGGGGGAAGACTACACTTCATGCCGAGACAAGTCACTCATTTGCCCTTTTGTAGCTATTGCTGCACCATGTGATCCCCGGAGCCTTTGAAATTGCCACGCTGCAAGACGAGATGACGGGCGTGTCTCTGGCTGGAACGCAGCTCCGCGTCAATCAGTATAACATGCACGACCAGGAGTGGAACGATGTCACTGTAAGAGAACCCTAAATGCCTTTCCCCAAGCTGGTTAGCTGTAACGATTATTTCGCCCAATGCAGCTCACTACCATCAATGGGGCCATGGTTGTGCTGAACAAAAAGGATATCAAGATCCCACAGGGAGTGGCGCATGCCGTGGATCGTGTTATGTTCCCACTGCCGGTGGGGGATCTTCTGCAGACTCTGCAATCTGATCGCGAGGGTCGCTTTAGCAACTTCCTCAAGATCCTATACACCTCTGGGCTATCCGAGAAGCTGCAGAGCAAGGGTAAGGATTATTGAATTTAATCCATAATTGACATTGAATATCATCTTCAACTCAAGGTGTAAAAACGTACACTGTTTTCGCTCCTGTGGACAAGAGCTTCAGCGAATTGGACTCGGACACGCTGGAGAAGCTCTACAACGACAAGGAAGCCGCTGAGCAGTTTGCCATGAAGCACATAGTGCCTGGAGCTCTCTTCTCCGCCGGTATGCGCTTCTACCAGGTTAAGGACTCGCTGTACACGGGCAAGACCGTGATTCTGCAGAAGACGTCTGCTGGCAAGATCAAGGTCAACGATGCCCAGATGGTCACATCGAACATCCCCGCCACCAATGGAGTGATCCATGCCCTGGACGGCGTTCTTGCGTGAAGAGATTAAAAACTGTCTAAGGAGATTATATCGGCCTTGTTATAGCAGTTTTTCGTTTAGCCTTAAGAGTTAGATTAAGCGAGGAAGAGAAGGAGTCTTCATCAACCACATCAAAAATTGTTAGTGAAATCTTGCCAACGCCTTGGGAGGACCGAAAAAATTGCCGTCTTTCGAAAACTGGTGCAAATCCACAAAGAGACAAAGAAGATGTACACAAAGATTTGGTGCTTCCATGAACTTTCCTGTATTTTTCTTTTTCGCCTTCATAAAACAGTCATTACAAATAGTTCAATTTAAGAGAAGAGAAAAAATGTGTAAAAACCAAGAGTATGGAAACAGAATGGGATCTAATCTAAGTTCATATCTAATTTATTATTTTGGCATTACATTAAATGCAAATTAATTTACAAAATTCTGTAAAATAAACAAAATATAGTTAAGTACAAAAATGGATACTCTTTTTGTTTAAACAAATTATTGATTAGATGCAAATGTAAGTAGCCTCAAACACCATTGAATTAGCAATGATTTGCATGACGCATAAAATATGTTTCATGTGGTCTTGGGTTGGTTTTGGGTTGGTTGGTCCATGATAGTTTAATTTCAAAATAAAATGTAACTGTTGCACAACAATTTAATTTGTGTCATGTGCAAACACGCTAACCACCAAAACGATCCTCTAGATTCTAATTATAGCTTGTTCTCGAAGTCGTAGTCGTTGTACTCGTAGTTGGCTTTTCTTGATTCCGAGATTCTATCGTTAGAAGTTTAGCTTCACTTCAAAGCGTAAAGAATGTGAGCTTATCGACAGCTATAAAATGTTTTGTTTAGAGTTTTTCAATTTATTTTCTTAACCTTCTTGTTATTACACTAATGAGTTTCCTGAACGCACCAAACTTATTTACAAGCAGAGTTCCTCAGCAGCTCCCCTATGCTTATCTGCGCGGACAATTTTACGGGATTGAGGTGGGCATTTAGAAAAACGACTGACAGCACTTTGGTTTACAGCAGACTATTGCGATCAACTGTGAAACATCTGCAGGTAAAAAAGTTTCCCCATGGATTTGTATCTTTGGGTTCAAAGTTCCAAACAAAGTTGAATGTTATCACCATAAGTATAGTTTCAGCATTTGTGTGTTCTTTTGAACAACAATTTCAGACCCATCAAACAAAGTGCAGAAATATTTCAACCCAAAATGTATATTCCTTATCTAAAAGCTTTTTACGTAAATTAAGGTGGTTTTTCGTGCCTTTACTCCAAATTATACAAAAGAAATATCGAGAAAGAAAGTACTTAAATAATTTCCCCATCGATGTTGCATCAGTGCGTTCTGGAAGGCCAAGATGGTAGGAGCTGAATGGTCGGGAAGTTCTTTTTATACTTAACGAATTTCTTATTTCAGATCTGGCGTTTCTTTGTGATTGTTGCGTTGTGGATTGTACTTCTGGCTACCACCATAAGAACGCAAACAACAGAAGCATCAGGCTTATGCATTATATTTCCACACTTACCAATATGCAAAACCACTACCGTAACTTCAGAAATAACTACTACAGAACCGATTAGCACAGAAACGGCTGTAACTTTCAGCACTGAAGCCCCCACAACTACCGAAGAGACAACATCCACTGAAACACCTACAACTTCTGAAGAGACAACATCCACTGAAACACCTACAACTTCTGAAGAGACAACATCCACTGAAACACCTACAACTTCTGAAGAGACAACATCCACTGAAACACCTACAACTTCTGAAGAGACAACATCCACTGAAACACCTAAAACTTCTGAAGAGACAACATCCACTGAAACACCTACAACTTCTGAAGAGACAACATCCACTGAAACACCTACAACTTCTGAAGAGACAACATCCACTGAAACACCTACAACTTCTGAAGAGACAACATCCACTGAAACACCTACAACTTCTGAAGAGACAACATCCACTAAAACACCTACAACTTCTGAAGATACAACATCCACTGAAACACCTACAACTTCTGAAGAGACAACAACCACTGAAGCACCTACAACTCAAACAACCACTGAACCTACAACTCGAGGAGGCTTACATTTATTCCACACTTACCAATGAAAACCACCACCGAAACACCTACAACTTCTGAAGAGACAACATCCACTGAAACACCTACAACTTCTGAAGAGACAACATCCACTGAAACACCTACAACTTCTGAAGAGACAACATCCACTGAAACACCTACAACTTCTGAAGAGACAACATCCACTGAAACACCTACAACTTCTGAAGAGACAACATCCACTGAAACACCTACAACTTCTGAAGAGACAACATCCACTGAAACACCTACAACTTCTGAAGAAACAACATCCACCGAAACACCTACAACTTCTGAAGAGACAACATCCACTGAAACACCTACAACTTCTGAAGAGACAACATCCACTGAAACACCTACAACTTCTGAAGAGACAACATCCACTGAAACACCTACAACTTCTGAAGAGACAACATCCACTGAAACACCTACAACTTCTGAAGAGACAACATCCACTGAAACACCTACAACTTCTGAAGAGACAACATCCACTGAAACACCTACAACTTCTGAAGAGACAACATCCACTGAAACACCTACAACTTCTGAAGAAACAACAACCACTGAAACACCTACAACTTCTGAAGAGACAACATCCACTGAAACACCTACAACTTCTGAAGAAACAACAACCACTGAAACACCTACAACTTCTGAAGAGACAACATCCACTGAAACACCTACAACTTCTGAAGAGACAACATCCACTGAAACACCTACAACTTCTGATGAGACAACATCCACTGAAACACCTACAACTTCTGAAGAGACAACATCCACTGAAACACCTACAACTTCTGAAGAGACAACAACCACTGAAGCACCTACAACTACCGATGAAAAAACAACCACCGATGAACCTACAACTATCGAGGAAGGCTTATGCATTTTATTTCCACACTTACCAATATGCAAAACCACCACCGAAACACCTACAACTTCTGAAGAGACAACATCCACTGAAACACCTACAACTTCTGAAGAGACAACATCCACTGAAACACCTACAACTTCTGAAGAGACAACATCCACTGAAACACCTACAACTTCTGAAGAGACAACATCCACTGAAACACCTACAACTTCTGAAAAAACAACAACCACCGAAACACCTACAACTTCTGAAGAGATAACATCCACTGAAACACCTACAACTTCTGAAGAGACAACATCCACTGAAACACCTACAACTTCTGAAGAGACAACATCCACTGAAACACCTACAACTTCTGAAGAGACAACATCCACTGAAACACCTACAACTTCTGAAGAGACAACATCCACTGAAACACCTACAACTTCTGAAGAGACAACATCCACTGAAACACCTACAACTTCTGAAGAGACAACATCCACTGAAACACCTACAACTTCTGAAGAGACAACATCCACTGAAACACCTACAACTTCTGAAGAGACAACATCCACTGAAACACCTACAACTTCTGAAGAGACAACATCCACTGAAACACCTACAACTTCTGAAGAAACAAAAACCACTGAAACACCTACAACTTCTGAAGAGACAACATCCACTGAAACACCTACAACTTCTGAAGAAACAACAACCACTGAAACACCTACAACTTCTGAAGAGACAACATCCACTGAAACACCTACAACTTCTGAAGAGACAACATCCACTGAAACACCTACAACTTCTGAAGAGACAACATCCACTGAAACACCTACAACTTCTGAAGAGACAAAATCCACTGAAACACCTACAACTTCTGAAGAGACAACATCCACTGAAACACCTACAACTTCTGAAGAAACAACAACCACTGAAACACCTACAACTTCTGAAGAGACAACATCCACTGAAACACCTACAACTTCTGAAGAGACAACATCCACTGAAACACCTACAACTTCTGAAGAGACAACATCCACTGAAACACCTACAACTTCTGAAGAGACAACATCCACTGAAACACCTACAACTTCTGAAGAGACAACATCCACTGAAACACCTACAACTTCTGAAGAGACAACATCCACTGAAACACCTACAACTTCTGAAGAGACAACATCCACTGAAACACCTACAACTTCTGAAGAGACAACATCCACTGAAACACCTACAACTTCTGAAGAGACAACATCCACTGAAACACCTACAACTTCTGAAGAGACAACATCCACTGAAACACCTACAACTTCTGAAGAGACAACATCCACTGAAACACCTACAACTTCTGAAGAGACAACATCCACTGAAACACCTACAACTTCTGAAGAGACAACATCCACTGAAACACCTACAACTTCTGAAGAGACAACATCCACTGAAACACCTACAACTTCTGAAGAGACAACATCCACTGAAACACCTACAACTTCTGAAGAAACAACAACCACTGAAACACCTACAACTTCTGAAGAGACAACATCCACTGAAACACCTACAACTTCTGAAGAGACAACATCCACTGAAACACCTACAACTTCTGAAGAGACAACATCCACTGAAACACCTACAACTTCTGAAGAGACAACATCCACTGAAACACCTACAACTTCTGAAGAGACAACATCCACTGAAACACCTACAACTTCTGAAGAAACAACAACCACTGAAACACCTACAACTTCTGAAGAGACAACATCCACTGAAACACCTACAACTTCTGAAGAGACAACATCCACTGAAACACCCACAACTTCTGAAGAGACAACATCCACTGAAACACCTACAACTTCTGAAGAGACAACATCCACTGAAACACCTACAACTTCTGAAGAGACAACATCCACTGAAACACCTACAACTTCTGAAGAGACAACATCCACTGAAACACCTACAACTTCTGAAGAGACAACATCCACTGAAACACCTACAACTTCTGAAGAGACAACATCCACTGAAACACCTACAACTATTGGGCAATCAACAACCAATGAAGCACAGACAACTATTGAAAATGCAACGGCAACCCCAACAATAACGGAATCCACGACTTCGGCAACAGGTTCTCAACCGAGTATAGAGCAGCACGTTCATTATCACGAGATATTTGGGGGGCCGGGCTTTTTTTTGCCCTTGCCAGGACTTCCACTTCCACCATTGCTATTTCCTGGACCTAACTTGCCACTAGCAGCAGCTGATGCTTCCATACTTGGCATTCTTCCTATTCCTGTTCCTATTCTTCCCCCACCACCTCCCCCGCCTCGTCTGCCAAATATTTTCCCCTTTCCCAACATTTTCGGAAAATAAGTTACAGTTCTATCTATCATGAAAACAAATAATATATTATTTTAAATTACGAGTTTTCATACTTTAAAAAAGAGGCACAAGTCGTTATATTTATTTATTATTTTGGATAATTATTTTTATACCCGTA